GGGGGGGGGGGGAATACATTTTAACAGCAGAATCTGTCAAACAACAGATACCAGCAGGGCTCTCCTCAAATCATTTATTAGAGAGAAAATSTCTTTTTCTAAATGAGGGTGTGGGGTCTCAGTGCTCTGACTCTAGCTCACTGTGAAACATCACCTCTCTGGTGGGGGCGGAGCCTGAGCCTGTGTGCACCTGCTGGGCTAGTGTGCCGCCCCCAGCTTGGTGCCTGTGCATGGAGTTATTTCCAGCATTTACTGTAAATACTGCACATGAAAGGTTTTTACATCAACACATTTTTATTGTGTTCTTTTTTTAAGCTTCTAACAAAAAGGGTCCCAACCCCTAAAGCCCAGAACAGGAAGTGGCCCATGGGACACCAGTTGATGCTCACAACTGTAGCATATTTTATGAATATTTTTTTATTTTTTAACTTTTTTATTCGACTGAGTGAGTGTGCAGAGTTTGCAGGTGTGATAGGCTGGTAGAACTAACCTCTATCTCTTTGAAAGGGGGCGGAGTCTCRGGACTGCGAGGGAAAAACACCAGTCCCAAGGTGAAGGCAACAGTCAAGAGGAGAACAGGGATGACTCCTAACCTGGAAGACAACGTTTTGGGGTTAAAACAAGAATTGTACCTTTTCAGTGTTGTGTCTCATTAAAGCCGGGTCATTTTATAACTGGTATTAAATGCCTCTATAAACATGTCAACATTTATTTAACTTTTTTCTGTAAAAGCAAACTGTTCCACGGTTGAAGAACTGTTCTGTTCTTGGTTTTTTTTTTTTTTGTTATTTCCCAGAGCACTGCACAGTCTTGACATCAGGGTGAATTTACTTGAACTCCAGGGAAGACTCACAGCTGTCTACATGTTAATAATCTTCTCTCTGCAGGTTAAAAAAYTGATAACTCAAAATCGTTAACCCCGATGGGACAAAGCTGATGACTTTCGGCCCTGGCATTGGATTAACACACAACTGCATACTGCTTTATTACAGGTCCTAACAAATACTGATAATCAATTAATGAAGCGTATCTTATCAGCTGTAATTAGCAGCTTGTTACCCTCTCACAATAGATGTAAGGATTACTTAATTTATCACACAAATACAGATAACTTTTGCAAACATACAGCAGGTAAAATAAGTATTGAACACGTCACCATTTTTCTCAGTAAATATATTACTAGAGGT